AATAGTGCAACTAGGTTTTCATCGCAGTGCAAGGGAGGATTTTCAAGAATGGATTAACTCAAATTGCTGGTGGGAGAGTTAGCTTCCTCATCCCCTAGTAGCAGCTGTCGTAAAAAAAATAGGTCCCCATATACATTCTGGCTGAGGCTTTTAGGGAAACCATATATTAAAACCTTGAAGAGTTCTGTCTATTCAGCCTTTTGAATGTAGATAAGGCTTTCTTTTATCTTAGGGTAAACTTTTCATCAGGAAGCAAAGGGTCAGGCCCTGGCTAAAGGGAGCAGAAGAAGGGGAGGAGGGGGCCTGGAGAAAAGGGGAAAAGCCTGCCAAAAAATTCTGGCAGATAAAGCTTTGGTGCTATAAAGTTCATAAATGAAGGTTCTCTGTTTCATTTGCTGCTGATGATTATTATTATTATACAGAAAAGAAGCAGGCTAGACATATAGTAGAGTTACTGTTAGACAAAGATCACACACAATGATCTCAGCCCTGTCAAATCTTGGGTCACTACTGAACTAAAGGCTGCTGCTGAGGAAGCCAGAAAACATGAAAGGATAAAGAAGACAACTTACGCTTCGTCTCTAGGGTAGCTCCTGCTTTTATTTCAAAATCAAACCAAAGATTTGTTGCTTTTGAGGTTTTGCTCATAACGGAGCAGCAGACAAGAGGGCTCAATGTATTAATCCTAAGAAATATTAGAAAATTCTCATTGGTTTTTTTTTGATACTTTATTGTATTTGAATGTACCATGTTAAAGTTTGCAAACATGGCTTACTTCCTAGTAACATCATGGGTATGTCCATGTAGTGGCGTTGTGTTTTTTGTTTTGTTTTTCTTTTGGCAACAATACAAAAGTGGTTTGCATTGTTTTTGGGATGTGGTTTGGCTTCCAGACTATTATCTTGCTATTTCCTGGTAATAATCTCCCATTCAAGTATTAACTAGAGTTTAGCTTTTTGAGACTAGGGATAGCTACATGCTGCCATCTTAGTGGACACCAAAACTAAAGATGTTAAGATAGATTCAATTCCTGGTGACTAGATGGACTTAGCTGTGCTTGCTCTCAGTGCGCTTTAACTAACGGTATAGAAGTGGTTGGCATCCTGGAATGTTTTTTTAAAAATTTCTAAGTACTGCTTTGGGGTTCTCTGAAGTGTCTCATCACGTCTTCACCAGGTCCAGCTCTGTTTAACTCTAAACACAGGTCAGTCCTGTTCTGTCAATTGCTGAGATGCTAACGAATTAAGCAAACAGGAGAATAATAGACACCATGAATAATCCTCTGATCAACATCAGGATTCAGCTATATTCTTGCCAAAATACTGGGTTGGCCAATGTTTAAGTACTCATATGACTTACTTGGTTGGGTTATGACTTAATGTGACTCTCTGGGAAAAACAGATTTTAAATAATTTGTGGGAGAAGCATAAGTTTCTTTTATTTAACTACTGTAAAGTATTGTAAGATTTAATTGCACTTTGTAGAATTTGATGGGCTCTTAAGATAGATTCTTGTGAAAAATACAAGGCATGGTTAACATGGTACAGTTAACCTAACACAGAAAACTAGCATATCAGTCTGATCGCTTGTGTAAAGTCTTAGGAATATGTCCTAGAACTATCTTCAGTACAGTTAGTTTCATTTCAGCAATTTCTATCTTACATAACATATAGCATGAGATTGTACGTATTAAGTGAAATGAACTGTTTATTAGTATAACCAATAAAAAAGTCAGGTGCTTTCAGGGTATAAACAAAATATAATGTCAATCAATGGAAAAACAAATAGGACTTTCCTGATAATGAAAATGTTCCTTCTAAGTGCCTGGTGATCCTTCATTAGGAAGATCTTCTGTGGCCACATAACACTATTGAAGCATTATAATTCCATCAATTTATGAATTTATTTATTCTTGATATACTGATGTTAATCATCATTATAAAGATGTAATGGGATTTAAAGAGATCTTTTATTATAATATTTCAAGACACATGTGCTTAAAGTTTATTGGGTGGAAGAAAAAAAAGGAAGAAATGAATTTGGCATTTTCTTGGTTAAAAGCACTAATGTATTTTATTGACAAAAGTTACATAGCACACAATGACTTTCCAGAATGTTTTATAGCTGTGATGGCGGACCCATGGCACGCGTGCCACAGGTAGTATGCGGAGCCATTTCTGTGGGCACACAATGTGTTGCCCTGTTAGCTCCAGAGAGAATGTGCATGCTGGCCAGCTGATTTTCAGCCTTTATTTTAGGCTGTTGGGCTGTTTTCGCCCCCTGGAAGCTTCAGGGAAGCCTCCTGAAGTCCCTGGAGGGCAAAAAACCACCCAACGCGCAAACCAGAAATTTGGGAACAGAAGCTAGTGCTACAGCGTGGGCACACATACTTTTAGAACCCAAGGGGGAAAAGGTTTTATATAGTAAGTTACGTCTGCTAGGTAGCCTATGTAGTTTGTGGTTCTTGAACTGCCTGTAGCTTTTACCATAATAACAGCTAGGTTTCAGTCAGAATTATTCAGATTTCTGGGCTGAAGGATCTCAGTGTTCTCTTCTTCTTCTAGAAGAAAGAAATGGGTTGGAAACAGAACAAAAGATTGACTGGTTGGTTGATTATTCAAGGCCTGTCAAATTTTTCAACTTTCAATTTTCAAACATTAGGGGTGCTCAAAGGTTGTGACATGCCTTGGGGATTATAAATATATTTTGGTTACTTTAATATAGTTTAGAGATGCTTGGTAAGTAGCAACATAAATAAAGCTTGTTAACATTTTGTTTGTTTCAACTACAAATATAGTTTTTCTCCATGAGCCATGGTGGTGCAGAGGTTAGTGTCAGGCCTGCAGCAGTTCCTTTAAGAATCTTTGGCCTGCCACACTCTCATTTAAGGGGGGGGGGGAATAGCAAGGGGTAGAATGTATTGTTTGTAAAAAAAAAAATCCTTTCTAGAAGCTCAAGGCCATCTTTTGTCTCCACACATTTGCACCTGACCAGAAGCAGCGGGACATGGGTGCTAGCGTGGAAGAAGAAGATTGGACCATGTGATGGATTATGGGTGTGGGGACAAGATC